GAACTCGGAAATGACCCTCCCTTGCTGAAACAGGGTCGCAGGGCCTTCAGGGTATACGTACAACAAGGATCCCACGTAGCGCTTATTGTGTATGCATTCGACTCAAGTTAGGGTGTACTTACAACAAGGATCCTACGATCGAGGGTTTGTACTGGGGTTCCTATTTTCTGGGAGCTCCACCTGCTTCGAATCTGAGGATTGGGGAGTTTTTTTTTACGGATTCTGCGGTGGCGCGAAGTCTCCTACTTTTGCTTTGGGGATGTGCCTTCTACTTTGGTATTGTGCTGTGCTCCATTGGAGCAGCCCTGAACCCTACACCCTTGAAGCTAAGCCGAAACGATCCCAGAAAATCCTTAACACCCCAGAGCCGGAACAATGCAATTCTCGAGAACCATGACGTTCCTCCCGCAAGGCTTTTGTTGGAATCCATGGTGAGCAGGTCCGACGGTTTCGCTGCTGGTGGCTTCAGGCATTTGAAATTTAGGGGGTTTCGGCTCCAGGAGTTTGGCCGTAGGGATTAAAACTCTGTGTTTTCGAGTCGAGCCTTCAAGCTGATGAATCAGTTTGAGGTGACCGACAGCCCGTTTCCTGGGCTTGTGGACGTTTTGCATGTTGAGTTCATGCGTGCGCCCGACCCGAAACCCAGAAGCTTAAACAACGCGTTCAGACCTCCTGAAATGGCTAGTGTTGAGCACGGCCAGCCTTACTGGGGAATCCTTCCGTCGAAAGCATGTCGGTAGGGATGAAACAAAGCTGTCTAAGCTGACGTCTGCAAATCACAAGGGTTTCGGGTGCCTACTTCCCTCCATTTCACAAACCATGGGTTCACATTTATAGGGGTCACAACTGCAAACTGCAAGTAATTGGAGTGTTGATAGCCGCACGCAGAAGACTACTAGGATATCCGACCCCAGCAAGGAAGCAACACTTGAGCAAGAAGCATGTCAGGGACTGTCCGGCAAACACCTTGACTCTCGATGTCGCCGCAGCTGCTACAGACACCGGGAGGGCTTTCGGTGCCTTGTCAAAAAAAGCTTTGCTTGGTGACGCGACGGGTAGGCGCAAATGCGTCACAACACGATGTTATGTGTTGCAATGGCCGCCGGTAAAAGTAAGTTGCGAATATGGTGGCGTAGCAGGTGGGGAAGCGGTGACAACGGTCATTGTAAAGAGTGTTGGCACGGATACTGCGGCCTCGCTCTGAAAGTACGGTGAAGTGATGCGGGTGACGTGTTTTTCAGTTTGTGCAGACTCAAGGTAGTTAAGGCTCCAGCTTCGAATCTCTACTACGGCTCCTGGCCGTGGATACACGAGATTGCGTTTCGAAATGTCATGTTTAGCAGCTTGCGGGGTTTGCCTGTGAGTTTTCCTCACACTGTAGATCGTTTCCCGATCCTTAGTCGGGTTGCGCTGTCTGAAGCAGACTTGTGCAAAGACGAAAATTCTGATGAGTGTTTACGACGTAAAAACGGCGAGCCAGACTATTGCAAACATTGTTTTTTTATAGACCGAGCTGCTACGTAGTCGGGCCATCGCAGCTTGATGGACGTGCAAGACATGGCAGGTTTGGGCTTTTTTCACCTTGCAACGTGTTTTCTTTTACATGGCATCCAAGCGCCCCCGATCTCCTGGCCCGCCCGAGCTGTGCTGCCCGCCATCAACGAAGATTGAGGTCTCACCCGAGACCGGCCCTGAAGCCCCTGTGTCCCTTTGGAGATGTATAGATCGCGCAAAAGACCCTTGGCCAGTGGCCGTGAGGGACCTAAACACCCTAAGCGACGATGCTGGATATCAGCGCACGTTCATGACCTATCCTAGTCCTGCTCATCGTAGTCCTCTGCATCTTCGCGACAACCTTCTCCGCTAACACTATCACTATCACGCTGCTGAGCCCCGCAGTCCACGAAACGACAGCTAGAGGCTGCAAAACCCCGTTCCCAATCAAGTAGTTAACAGCAATATAGTAGTCAAAACAGTTGCCTTCAGAACTAATATGTAGCAACCCATTATTGTACTCGTCGCACAGGAATTGGCACACTTTTGGGTTGAAACTCCAAACAGTAGGACAACCGAGGTCCCTTGCGCCAGCTGCTGCACAGCGCCGCCGACGGAGCCCTGGGCGGCCTGTGGTCTGTCCGACTTCGGCACGAATCGAGGCCTTTAGCCATACATGCTACCGCCTGAAACAAAAACACAGTGGACAAATTTCACGGGGCACAAGGAACCAATTGACTTAAGAAGGATTTCTTGGAGGCCTGGCATCTCACTTGTTTAGCCTGTCTCCCGAACTTGTGCGACGATCCAAACCTAGCTGCCAGGTAGTCGGGAGACACGAGCGGAGGAGACAGCGGCAGGCTTTTGTCCAAGAGCCCTAAAGAGCTTCTGGAAGATACTGGAGTCTTCGAGGCATGAGGCATGGACGTCTACCTACCACGACATCTCGACGAAGAGCTGCTGACGTTGGGGGCCAGGGCCTGACGGAAGCACCCACAAATGGTACTGCAGGCATTGCAGGTGCCCTAAACCCTAAACCCTAAACCCTAAACCCAGTTGAACTGCGAAGTTACAGATCTTCGCAGTTTCGTTTCCGCCAGCGAGCAACAGGGCAAGTTGAAGCAAATCTTCGAGACGGCTGATGCTGCAAAGGTACTAGCTACACAGCGCCAATAGAATCTCCTAAATCTTCTCAGGCCTGCCTACATACACCTCGCAAGCCCTAGGCCGTAAACCATAGACTAGACAGAGGGTCCTGCAAAAACCGCTCCTCAGACCTCTGCACTTCGAACCGTTTTTCATGCGGCTGGTTTAACTAGAGTTTAGGACTCAAGTTTGGGGCTTCGGGCGGGAAACATGCACTGCGGGCATCGTTTCAACGTAACGTGCTCAGCCGGCAAATCGGCACTCCTCTTAGAACTCCGTACTGCGGGAGCGCACCAGCGCCGCAAAGCAAGGTCAAACTCGAGAAGCTTGCAAGCAAGGGCATGTGCAGCATGTGTCTACTGAGGAAGAATGGTCGCAAGAAGAGACACCTAGAATATACCTAGAGTACAGAGACAATAAATGCAGCGAATGCATTATTGTAAGCGTGTGTCTAAACATAGGCAGATATTTGCATTCATACATGCACACATGTACCTCGACATATTCAACGGATTCGTGCTCGTATGCAGATATTCAATTTTGCAGACAGCCGTTGTTTTGGCGGTTTGGCGGCTCGCTGCGCGTAGTTCAAGTGTACATTTGTTGTTCAATATGAACTTTTTCCTGACACAGCGGCCTGATGCGGATTAAAAAGGAGATGCTGAGCTCCGGAGCAAGGATCTGAACACAGGATTTCTAGAAACTGCCTCCAACATCCCCCGACCTCAGTCCTAAACCTGAAGAGGTTGCTTGTGACGCATAGCAACGTGCCCTGAGCACCGACTGCAAATCGAGAGACCTCACCTGGAAGTCCGAGTTCATGACAATGCAAGTGTAAGCGCTACCTTAAGCCTTGAGCACTGCGTAAAACCTCAGCAGAAACTTGTACGCCTTTGCAACCCCTCGACATCAGAGTTTGTTGGTGGTGTTGCCATGCAGATAAGGTGTGCAAGGTATATAGAATATATATATATATATATATATATATTTATATATATACATACATACATATATTTGTATTTATATACTATGTAGTTCAAGTTGTGTTTGCCGGCCTCTTGCTCCCTTTGTGCCGAGGCGCGACCTTGACTACCTCGCCACATCCAACGTTCTCATCCTGGGGGGTGGGGGCGGCTTCTCCGCCGCGGCTGGAGCTCTGCAGGATTCGGTTTAAGGGGGATAGGGTCGAGGGGCCTCTTCGCCAAGCCTGCGAAACTTGAAGCGCGTGGAGTTACGACTTGCTGCTTACAAAACTCTTGGCGGGCATGGCTGCAGTCAGACGTGACTGGGAGTTGTTGCGTCGTCCAAGCCACAAGCCGGAGCTTTTGCAGCCTAAGCCTCAGACTCGTGCCCTGTGCCTGCGGGGCCAGGCCGAGGGAGGCGTCATCCTCCACGCTCGGACACCCGACCTCGCTTTGGACGGCCTCCCCCACGCGCATGCTCTGGAGGTGGGCGCGAATTTCCGGGCGAATAGGGCCTCAAGCGATCTGTTCGGCGGGCTCTGCTTCGCAGAGCCCGGGCCCGAGCTTCAGCCAGCCCAGCAGCTGCAGCGGAGGACCACGGCAACTTCCGTTGCGCCTACGACCTGGCACCCTTGGCCCAGACCGTGCTCGGGGATTGGCCGAAGCTGCCCGGTTCATGATTTGCAGACTACGGTTATGACATTTGTGAATTCGTCCTTTGCAGTGCCGACGCATTAATTATGTTTTGGGGTGCTTGTTTTGAGCTAGGTTAGGAATGTGGCCGGAGACCTGTGCAGCCTGCCTTGGATCCGGGGTCTCTTGATGGAAGTCGGCTTCGCAGTCGCATCACTATCCAGGGACATCTGGCAGTGCCAGCTGGTGTTGAAAGCACAGTAAGCTCTGTAAACCTCACGCCAACAAGAAAGAAGGTCGAGCAGCCAGCACCCGCTCCTTATGACTTTCGGCCGTATACCGTATGCCTGTTCTTCTGGTTCACGTGTCTGTGCTGCAGGCGATCAGCTCCGACAAAGGAGGCGGAGGAGATGTCAGCCAAGGCCTGTGTGCCAGCCAACAAAGGGCTGACAATATGTCAAATTGGTATGGCATGGTATGATATGAGTGGGGGCCCTGAGTTGATTGCAGGATTGCGGACCCGTCCAGCCAACAAGCATGTTCCAAGGGCTCAAGGTCCTAGTGAAGTCCTCGGCCGCGAAGCAAGCCTCGACTGAACCGTCAACCCTACCATGTGCAGCGGTGTCTCGAGGGGAGAACAACCCTGAAGTATTTGAGGACGCCGTATTTTGGCCGCCAAGCTGCATAAATTCCGGAATCCGGAAACATGGCTTCAAAGGCGTAGTTCAACACGAGAAACAGGTGGAGCAAAGCTTCGCGGAGTACAAGGAGCGATGCCCTTGTCTAGCTGGGACAGGCACTTTTAAATAGGGCCTTTTCGCAGTTTTCGTAGATCTGTGTCACCTTTCCTGGTCGCCACGCCTGCAGTTGTCCAGATTTTGTGAGGGGCCCCGACGGGAAAGTGCAGTTGGCAGGCAGTGCAGGTAGCTATTCGGCAGGTGTCAGATTCCTGTTAGCATGAGCCTTCCAGCTGTCATGAAGCGCTCCCAAGCCTGGATGAAGGAGTGGTATACGTCCTCGGTCTCTTCCTCCTTCGATTTCGATTGGGTAGTGCCTGCGCATGCAAGTTCACTGCTGAAAGGCAGCTGCACATGGGGCTTAGGGTCAAGTTTTCTGGCGCAGGTTCGTGGGGCAGGAGCTGGGGGCGGCCAGGGAAAGCGTGCAAGGTTTGCGCTTGGAGTGGCATGGAATTCACGGCATGGTTTCGACTTTGCGTGTGTTTCGAATCCATCCTTTGTCCCAGACTCCTCAGAAATATAGATCTGGAGCCGCGACGACTCAGCAATACTCAGCAATTCACGGTGAAACCAACATGCGGAGCGAAGGCCTTACAAAGTGTTGTTGTGAACAAGGAACATCTCCCTCGCTGCAACGCCTCGCCAAGCTTGTCTGCGTGTCATAAAGCCCCGCTGCAAAATGGGCACTGAGCTCTAGCCCCGTGCACCAAAAGCACCACGGCTTGCTTCCTGACCGACGAAGCTCAACACAACCAGCAGACCCTGGAGTCTTAAAGCCCTCAAACTCTAGACTCCAAAGCCTTAACCTGCTCGGTGTGTGCGTCTGTGTGTGTGTGTGTGTTTGTCTGTGTGTGTGCTGAGCTCGGTCATTGCCTGTCTGGTTGCGGATTGTGCGGAGCATTGCCGGCTGCGTGCGAGTGTGAGTGTCGAAACCCCTAAAACAAAAGTCTCTGATCCTTCTTTAGTCCTTGTGAATAATCGCAGCATTCATTGATGTGTTTCAGTTCAACTGACTGACCACGCCCCAATTTCCGCGCCTGGCTTGTCCGACAGCGCCGAAACTGATAAGGAGCCGGCCAGCTGCAAAGGCCTCCACCGTGACCCGCTCGTGGACCCCACGGGACAGCTTCCGCTCTGAGTGTGGTGCTTAGCAATCCACCTCGGAGTTTAGGGTTGAGGGTGAGGTGGGGTTTTGGCCGAGGGCCTAAGGCTGTGACGTAAGGTGATTTGGGGTTTCAGGGTTTGGGTCAGACTGGGGCCCCTCAAATTTTAGATGATACCGGGTTTCTGGAGTCCAAGGTGCAGGTTTGATGGTTTTGGGGGGCCTTGTAGAGTTTGAGTTTGAGTTTGAGTTTGGGTGAAAAAGCACTCAGGTCCTTTTAGGCTTCAAGATGGAGCTCTTAGGGGAAGTTAGGCGTTGACGGTACAAGAACAGACTAGCCGGCGTTTATGAATCATCATGAGAGGGAATACACGAGCGAGCCCGAAACGACATTTTTGATGCTAGATCTCCCTAACCTGCAAAGCCAACACCCACGACCCCGACTGCTGCTGCAGGTCCTGGCTTGCCAAAGCGAGAGGGCAAAAATGATGCTGCCTTGCAAGCCCTCATTTAAGGTTTGGGGCGTCGGTGCTTATCGAAGCAGGTAGGTCTCTGGGCCTGGCAATAGGCATAGATGCTATAGATACAACAGCGAAAAGGACAAAGAACTGGCGGCCGAGAGAATCTACTGCAAAGCTTTCAACAGCATATTTCAGCCCTGGAGGTTGGCTCGCACAATGGGTGGTTGGTGTCGCAGCGGTCCTCAAAAGCTGTCGGTATTCCCCTCATGGGTTTTGACTGTCGTCATGTTCACAAGATTCGTGGATGTTGATCGTATGTATTTGTTGGTCATTGATGTACGCGATAAGTTTAAGGACATGCTCGCACAGCTTAGAAACTTGCTACGGTGGGAAATGATACATGAGGTACAAAAGACAGTTCATCATCTGCCGAAGCTCGCCATCATTACACACCGTCCTGGCCATATCTTGATTTCCACCCAAACCACCAGAATTATCAGTCAAAGTTCTGGTCACTTGATCCCGGAGCATGTAATAATATGGTGTCGGGAAGCGTCCCGGCTGCTACCAGTACCTTCAGAAAAAAAACTCAAGCATGTAGGGTTTGTAGGCCAAGGCTCAGCCTCTCCAGGCGTCCAGTCTGCTCTCGCACTGGCTCATGTGGGCTCGCTTGCTTCGCGTGGATTGCAAGGTTTCGCATAGTCTTGACATGGCGTGCGTAGCGTGTCCCGCAGCTGCACCCCAGTCCAGGCTTCAAGACGTTGACGGATGACAGGAATGTAGCATGGTGGCATCTGACGTTGGCTGCCACATCCCCAAACCCAGAACCGAACGCAAACCTCTGAGATTCGAGGGCTTAATTCACACTTGACCAAGCCAGCCAGCATGGCTCTGAAGCGGCTGAAGAAGGAGTGGAGGCTATGGGGATGTGAGGAGGAGGCGTGGCTCAGCTCAGTTGGATCCCCACACCGAGGGTTTACGGTTGAAGGCTCCTTCCTAGAGTCCTGACTGTGACAAGAGATTTGGAATTGGTCCATCAGAAGTATGCCCAGACCCAAATCTTAAAGCGGTTTCTTTGAGCCACGAGCTTATTGATCTGGCTTCGGGACATACGTCTTTCTGGGAGGTACTTGACGTGGACACATTAGAGTGGTCAAACTGTTAAACAAAGCTCCGACTGTTGTTTGCCAGCGAACTATGCCTGCATTTTCGATATTGAATCATATTGGCTGCTATTATGAGCAATGGCTTTAGAGAAGTTCTGTCACGCGCAGTGTGTCACACATGTCGTAGCAGTTGTCATGGCAGCGGTTGCCATCGTAGCCGTAGTCGTGGAAGTCGTAGGTGGTAAGTCCTAGGTCCTAGGTGGCACGTGCTGAGTGCTATGTGGTAAGTGCTAGTGGCACCCAAGCCCTAAACCATTTGAGTTAGACTTCTCATTTTGGATTGAAGGTTAAAGGTTGAGGGTTACACACTGCGGCAGTAGTAGTAGCAGCAGCAGTAGCAGCAACAGTAGCAGTAGCAGTACAGTAGCAGTAGTAGGAGTAGTCGTCGTCGTAGCCGTGGTAGTCGAAGTAGTAGCAGCAGATGCAGCAGCAGCAGTTCGAGTAGTAGTTGTAGTAGTTGTAGTTGTAATAGTTGTAGCAGTAGTAGTAGTAGTAGTAGTAGTAGTAGTAGTAGGACTAGTACTAGTACTAGTACTAGCACTAGTACCAGTAGTAGTAGTAGTAGTAGTAGTAGTAGTAGTAGTAGTAGTAGTAGTATAGTTTTTGTGTTCTTATATAACAACGAACATATTTGTTGTCAGTGTTGTTATTATTGCCGTGATTATTGTTATTGTTCTTATTGTTCGTATTGTCAGCATATGTACTTAAACCCTAAACCCTAAACCCTGAACCCTAAACCCTAAACCCTAAACCCTTGCCAGGAGACGCACCGCCTTCGGTGGCTTCTGTCCAAATCGGTAGCACCTCGAAGAATACCACCGTCACGGGAACCTCGGTCTCCGTGGTTTGAGGCTTTGGGGCTTTGGGTTTGGGAGTTTAGGAGTTTAGCGGTTGGTTTTTCAGATTTTTTGGCTTCGGGGTTTAGCAGATTTGTGCATGTGTTGGGAGTGGGAAAGGAAGTGACTTTGTGAAAGGAACACCAGCAATGACCCAGGAACCATCTGTTTTGACACGGACTTCCCCTCGGTCACGCGACCGATCGGTTCAGCTGATGTGCTTCTGGAGAGCAGTGCCACCTGGAGTAACATCGGCCGCCAGCATCTGCATGGGCACCAGTATGCGGCACTGGAGAATGGTCAGACCCTGGTGAAGTGCACCTACATGGGCTTCAGTGGAGCTATCAACCCATATGGCTCCATCATCATCCAGCTTCCTCAGACCAAGAGGAACGTAGTCTATTTCCAGGTGCCGCGCTTCCCCAAGGCAGCTGTTTTCCCTTGGATGTACACTGCTTTCGACACTTTCATGGGCATTTCGGCGTGTGTCTGGCTTGTCTTGGCATTGTCACCTGAAATCAGTAGCCGTGTGCTGGGCGATGGCCATCCGTAAAGGGCAGTTGCTGTCGCTGTGGGACTGCCCGAAGGCCGGCGGACCCAAGCATGTGTCACGTTTGTCTGCTTTTTTCACATTTTAAACGAACAGGTATAAATAAGTAAGTAGATAAGCATAAAAATAACTAAGTACATATATATATATATATACATACATATGCATGCACAGATTTACATATATATATATATATATATACATATACACACACACACATGCACGCACGTTTCCATTAATGCATGCATGCACGTATGATGTCTGTATGCCTATATATGCATATATGTATATGCAGACATACATGTACACACATACCCCGGCATGTACGCAAGTGTATGTATGGTGGTGTTGTATTGCGTTGTTTACTGTATGGTATGGTATGGTATGGTATGGTATGTGTTCTACGAATGCTTGGGGATGTATCCCCCCAGAATGCGGTCTCCTATGGTCTCTGGAGCTTCGAGTTGCGAACCTGCAACCTTGGCGCTGGCAATAAAAGGTCCGGATGTCGCTTTGAGGTAGCTCGATGGTGATTGACAGTATTCCGATCAGCAACTTCGCAAACAGGAAGATACGACAGAGATCTTGATGCAAGTTTTGTTGAGGGTGCATGCCCCCACGAAGAATTACACCTAAACCCTAAACCCTAAACTTTGGCAGGGAGTCTTCACGAGGGACCCCTGACTGATGGATACTGTGGCCTGTGCATCTGAAACTTCGAATCCCTAAAACCCTAATGATTCCTGATGCCCGCAGCCCCCGAACCCTTAAACCTCCAAAACCCCCAAAACCCAAAGCCCTAAACGCCTGAACCTCCAACTGCAGAAGCCTAAACCCTAAACTCCTAAACCCTAAACCCTAAACTCCTAAACCTAAATCTCCACAGCTCTTCCGATTTCTGGTTGCACGGTAGCTGGAGACCTTCTGGTTTCTTGAGGGTTTAGGGTTTAGGGTTTAGGGTTTAGGGTTTAGGGTTGAGGGTTGAGGGTTTAGGGTTTAGGGTTGAGGGATTTCGGGTGTAGAGTCCTATTTACTCCACGACACACTGCTCGACTTAGGTCACCCGTCACGGCGTTTCCGTCCTTCTTCACGTTCACGGCTGCTCGGCTGTTCAGAAGCCCCAACCCCCGACCCCTTAACCCTACACCCCTAAACCCCGCACGCTAAACCCTGGACCCCTACACCCCCCCAAACCCTACACCCAAAGCCCTAGACCCCTAAACCCTAAACCCAAAGCCCTGGACAACTAAACCCGCGACCTTTAAACCCGAAGCCCTAGACCTTAAACCCCAAACCCGAAGCCCTAAACCCTAAACCCTAAACCCTAAATCCTAAACCCTAAACCCTAAACCCTAAACCCTAAACCCTAAACCCTTGAGCCGGAAAGACCCAGACCCAGAGAGCGCCCTGAACCCAACACAGCCTCGGGCTTTGCAAACGCCCGGGGTTTAGGATGAGTTTAGGGGTTAGGCTTAGACTCCAGTTGTTTAGGGTTCAGGGTTTAGGGTTGAGGATTTAGGGTTTAGGCTTAGACTCGGTTAAGGATTTAGAAACCCAGGGGTCGGTTGGAGGGTTCATCGGGAGTAATGTAGTTGCAAGTACCACGGTATGAGACGTTTCGGGTTTAGGGCTTAGGGCACAGTCTACCCTTGAAGTCTCCCAGTAGACCCTGCCCTGCCGACACTTCAAGCCCATGTCTCCTACATACTGTAATGTGCTATTGTAGTCAAAAAGCAGTACAAAAATTGGAAAGACAAACCCCCAAAGATGAGCCCTACACTCTAAAATCCTCACCTTAAAGCTCTCTCCCCCTACAACCTAAACCCTGAACTCTAACCAGGGAGGCTGGGTTGATAGGGTTTAGGGCTTACGGTACGAGGTTTCAGGTAGGGCCATGTAGTGCCTTGGGTTTGAGGTTTAAGGGCTGAGGGTTTGGGGGTCCGGGGTTGAGGATTTAGGGTTCAGGGTTGAGGGTTTCGGCTCAGGGTTTGGGGTCCGGGTTTTGGAGTTCAGTTTCTTAGGATGCAGGGTTTGCGGTTCAGGGCTTCGGGCTTAGGGTTTGAGAGGTGTTGGGGATAACGGGTCCCGAATGTAAGCACTCAGGTTTTGAGGCGGCAGGTAGTAGGGGGCGTTTATATGAGCCAAACCCCAAACCCTAAACGCCTAAATCCTTAAGCCCCTAAACCCCTCAACCCCCTAAACCCCTAAACCCCTAAACCCCTAAATCTCTAAACCCCTTAACCCTAAACCCCTAAACCCCTACATCCCAAAGGCCTTCGAGTTTGGCGTTGGAGCTTCTTACGGTTCAGCTCGTTCTTTTGTGCTTATCCATGGCATGACTTGAGGCCTCAGGGTTCAGGTTTTAGGGTTTAGGTAATATAGGGGCCTAAGTAGTTAACCAATACTATTGTGGGGTTCCTTATCATAATTATAGTACAGTGGGCCCAAAACCCTATTCTAATAACTACGGCCCCCGCATTCGTCGTTTGTCCTATTCAGAAACATGCCCCTTTGGGGGGTCTTCATTTAGGGTGTAGGGTCTTGGGGTTAGGGCCAAAGTCCCATACCCGAGAGCCTTTCGCGTCAATCTGTTGAACCTCCTTCCCGAATTTGAAGGCAGGGAAAACTCTCAAAACTGCTAAGCCCTCAATGGAGTGTCAGCTTCTCAAGGACAAGACCCGCGAACCCATAGGTAAGAAATGTCCTGCAACGAAAGTTGGGTGATTCGCAAAGAAAGGGAATCGATAGCCAACAAGCTCTAAACCACAAAAAACCCTAAGCCGGGGTTTCAGCGTGTGGGCCCTCGCAAGTGAGGCTTCCGACCCTACTTCTACGTAACCAAGCCGTCTGGCGAGGCGTGTGCAGACGGAGGGCAGAGGGTTTCCAAGACTGGTTTGATGTTTGCATGCAGTTTTTGTCTTTCTTTGGGGGGGGCATTCGTGAAGTACCCGTGAACGCCGCATAGCAGCCAAGACACCCAAACATACCCCAAGTATCTCGGTGTCTCTCTGTCGCAAGCATTTTGCTGATGCATCCAAACTGCCCTGTGTATAATTCCACTAATGTAACGTTTAAACCATTCGGTGGAAAAGCTCTATTTAAATTAAACCTTAAACCCTAAACCCTAAACCCTAAACCCTGAACCCTAAACCCTAAACCCTAAACCGGAGTTTCTAGCCATCACATTCTGCATCCGATTCAGCACTGCAGCCACATCGTTCTTCCAGGCTTCTGCTAGAACCGTTGTAGAACGTGACCAGTATTTAGGGTTTAGGGTTTAGGCTTTAGGGTTTAGCCTCCAGCTCAAGCTGACAAAAGCCGAGGAATCCAAGCGATGCGCGTCGGAAAAGAGAAACAACCGAAGAATTGCTGCCTGAACCTGTGCTATCTATCTATCTATCTAACTATCTATCTATCTACCTGTCTTTTTTCTATCTATCTACCTATCTATCCACCTGTCTATTTTCTATCTAGCTATCTAGCTAGCTGGCTATCTAGCTATCTAGCTATCTATCTGGCTTTCTAGTTATCTATCTATCTATCTATCTATCTATCTACCTACCTAGCTATCTAGCTATCCAGCTAGCTATCTATCTAGCTAGCTATCTAGCTAGCTAGCTAGCTAGCTAGCTATCTATCTAGCTATCTATCTATCTACCTACTATCTAATTGTCTATCCGTCCATCTGTCCATCTGTCCATCGATCTATCCATCTTTCTACCTATCTGCGCATCCATCCATCCATCCATACATCCATCCACCCACCAACACACATGGGTCAGCCAGCTAGCCAGCCAGCCAGCCAGCCAGCCATCCATCCATCCACTCATCTCTGCGCATCCATGAATTTGTACATAGATAGCGTGCACACGCACGTGACAAGAGAGAGACAGAGAGTACACCTACGTAACTTACCTATATATACATATATATATATATGAAGTAGGTGTCTACAAGTGTAAATATTTACATGCGCACCCTTTCTCTGTCTGTCTGTCTGCCTGTCTGTCTGTCTGTCTGTCTGTCTGCATGCATGCATGCATGCATGCATGCATGGATGGATGTATGTATGTATGTTTGTATGTATGTATGTATGTATGTATGTATGTATGGATGTATG